ACAGGTGGCCAACTGAAGAGGAATAGTTACACTTGCGTAGAGAGAGACTCAGCGAGACAGGTGGCCAGCTAAAGAGGAATAGTTACACTCACGTAGAGACTCAGCGAGACAGGCGGCCAGCTGCAGAGGAACAGTTACACTCACGTAGAGAGAGACTCAGCGAGACAGGTGGCCAGCTAAAGAGGAATAGTTACACTCACGTAGAGAGAGACTCAGCGAGACAGGTGGCCAGCTGAAGAGGAATAGTTACACTACAGAGAGACTCAGCGAGACAGGTGGCCAGCTAAAGAGGAATAGTTACACAAGAGACTCAGCGAGACAGGTGGCCAACTGAAGAGGAATAGTTACACTCGCGTAGAGAGAGACTCAGCGAGACAGGTGGCCAGCTAAAGAGGAATAGTTACACTCACGTAGAGACTCAGCGAGACAGGCGGCCAGCTGCAGAGGAACCGTTACACTCACGTAGAGAGAGACTCAGCGAGACAGGTGGCCAGCTAAAGAGGAATAGTTACACTAAAGTAGAGACTCAGCGAGACAGGTGGCCAGCTGAAGAGGAATAGTTACACTCACGTAGAGAGAGACTCAGCGAGACAGGTGGCCAGCTGAAGACGAATAGTTACACTAAAGTAGAGACTCAGCGAGACAGGTGGCCAGCTGAAGAGCAATAGTTACAATTGTGTAGAGAGAGACTCAGCGAGACAGGTGGCCAGCTGAAGAGGAATAGTTACACTAAAGTAGAGAGAGACTCAGCGAGACAGGTGGCCAGCTGAAGAGGAATAGTTACACTAAAGTAGAGACTCAGCGAGACAGGTGGCCAGCTGAAGAGGAATAGTTACACTCACGTAGAGACGCAGCGAGACAGGTGGCCAGCTGAAGAGGAATCGTTACACTAAAGTAGAGAGAGAGTCAGCGAGACAGGTGGCCAGCTGAAGACGAATAGTTACACTCACGTAGAGAGAGACTCAAAGAGACAGGTGGCCAGCTAAAGAGGAATAGTTACACTAGAGAGAGACTCAGCAAGACAGGTGGCCAGCTGAAGAGGAATAGTAACACTAGAGAGAGACTCAGCGAGACAGGTGGCCAGCTGAAGAGGAATAGTTACACTCATGTAGAGAGAGACTCAGCGAGACAGGTGGCCAGCTAAAGAGGAATAGTTACACTAGAGAGAGACTCAGCGAGGCAGGTGGCCAGCTGCAGAGGATAGTTACACTAAAGTAGAGAGAGACTCAGCGAGACAGGTGGCCAGCTGAAGAGGAATAGTTACACTAAAGTAGAGAGAGACTCAGCGAGACAGGTGGCCAGCTGAAGAGGAATAGTTACACTAAAGTAGAGAGAGACTCAGCGAGACAGGTGGCCAGCTGAAGATGAATAATTACACTCACGTAGAGAGAGACTCAGCAAGACAGGTGGCCAGCTGAAGAGGAATAGTTACACTCACGTAAAGAGAGACTCAGCGAGACAGGTGGCCAGCTGAAGACGAATAGTTACACTCATGTAGAGACTCAGCGAGACAGGTGGCCAGCTGAAGAGGAATAGTTACACTCACGTAAAGAGAGACTCAGCGAGACAGGTGGCCAGCTGAAGAGGAATAGTTACACTCACGTAAAGAGAGACTCAGCGAGACAGGTGGCCAGCTGAAGACGAATAGTTACACTCATGTAGAGACTCAGCGAGACAGGTGGCCAGCTGAAGAGGAATAGTTACACTAGAGAGAGACTCAGCGAGACAGGCGGCCAGCTGAAGAGGAATAGTTACACTCACGTAGAGACTCAGCGAGACAGGTGGCCAGCTGAAGAGGAATAGTTACACTAAAGTAGAGACTCAGCGAGACAGGCGGCCAGCTGAAGAGGAATAGTTACACTAAAGTAGAGACTCAGCGAGACAGGCGGCCAGCTGAAGATGAATAGTTACACTCACGTAGAGACTCAGCGAGACAGGTGGCCAGCTGAAGAGGAATAGTTACACTCACGTAGAGACTCAGCGAGACAGGCGGCCAGCTGAAGAGGAATAGTTACACTAGAGAGAGACTCAGCGAGACAGGTGGCCAGTTAAAGAGGAATAGTTACACTAGAGACTCAGCGAGACAGGCCGCCAGCTGCAGAGGAATAGTTACACTCGCGTAGAGAGAGACTCAGCGAGACATGTGGCCAGCTAAAGAGGAATAGTTACACTAAAGTAGAGACTCAGCGAGACAGGCGGCCAGCTGAAGAGGAATAGTTACACTAAAGTAGAGACTCAGCGAGACAGGTGGCCAGCTGAAGAGGAATAGTTACACTAGAGAGAGACTCAGCGAGACAGGTGGCCAGCTGCAGAGGAATAGTTACACTCACGTAGAGACTCAGCGAGACAGGTGGCCAGCGGAAGACGAATAGTTACACAGGAGACTCTGCGAGACAGGTGGCAAGCTGAAGAGGAATAGTTACAATTGCGTAGAGAGAGACTCATCGAGACAGGTGGCCAGCTGAAGAGGAATAGTTACACTCACGTAGAGAGAGACTCAGCGAGACAGGTGGCCAGCTAAAGAGGAATAGTTACACTCACGTAGAGACTCAGCGAGACAGGTGGCCAGCTGAAGATGAATAGTTACACTAAAGTAGAGACTCAGCGAGACAGGTGGCCAGCTGAAGAGGAATAGTTACACTCACGTAGAGACTCAGCGAGACAGGTGGCCAGCTGAAGAGGAATAGTTACACTAGAGAGAGACTCAGCGAGACAGGCGGCCAGCTGAAGAGGAATAGTTACACTCACGTAGAGACTCAGCGAGACAGGTGGCCAGCTGAAGAGGAATAGTTACACTAAAGTAGAGACTCAGCGAGACAGGCGGCCAGCTGAAGAGGAATAGTTACACTAAAGTAGAGACTCAGCGAGACAGGCGGCCAGCTGAAGATGAATAGTTACACTCACGTAGAGACTCAGCGAGACAGGTGGCCAGCTGAAGAGGAATAGTTACACTCACGTAGAGACTCAGCGAGACAGGCGGCCAGCTGAAGAGGAATAGTTACACTAGAGAGAGACTCAGCGAGACAGGTGGCCAGTTAAAGAGGAATAGTTACACTAGAGACTCAGCGAGACAGGCCGCCAGCTGCAGAGGAATAGTTACACTCGCGTAGAGAGAGACTCAGCGAGACATGTGGCCAGCTAAAGAGGAATAGTTACACTAAAGTAGAGACTCAGCGAGACAGGCGGCCAGCTGAAGAGGAATAGTTACACTAAAGTAGAGACTCAGCGAGACAGGTGGCCAGCTGAAGAGGAATAGTTACACTAGAGAGAGACTCAGCGAGACAGGTGGCCAGCTGCAGAGGAATAGTTACACTCACGTAGAGACTCAGCGAGACAGGTGGCCAGCGGAAGACGAATAGTTACACAGGAGACTCTGCGAGACAGGTGGCAAGCTGAAGAGGAATAGTTACAATTGCGTAGAGAGAGACTCATCGAGACAGGTGGCCAGCTGAAGAGGAATAGTTACACTCACGTAGAGAGAGACTCAGCGAGACAGGTGGCCAGCTAAAGAGGAATAGTTACACTCACGTAGAGACTCAGCGAGACAGGTGGCCAGCTGAAGATGAATAGTTACACTAAAGTAGAGACTCAGCGAGACAGGTGGCCAGCTGAAGAGGAATAGTTACACTCACGTAGAGACTCAGCGAGACAGGTGGCCAACTGAAGACGAATAGTTACACTACAGAGAGACTCGGCGAGACAGGTGGCCAGCTAAAGAGGAATAGTTACACAAGAGACTCAGCGAGACAGGTGGCCAACTGAAGAGGAATAGTTACACTCGCGTAGAGAGAGACTCAGCGAGACAGGTGGCCAGCTAAAGAGGAATAGTTACACTCACGTAGAGACTCAGCGAGACAGGCGGCCAGCTGCAGAGGAACAGTTACACTCACGTAGAGAGAGACTCAGCGAGACAGGTGGCCAGCTGAAGACCAATAGTTACACTCACGTAGAGAGAGACTCAGCGAGACAGGTGGTCAGCTAATGAGGAATAGTTACACTCACGTAGAGAGAGACTCAGCGAGACAGGTGGTCAGCTAATGAGGAATAGTTACACTAAAGTAGAGAGAGACTCAGCGAGACAGGTGGCCAGCTGAAGACGAATAGTTACACTCACGTAGAGAGAGACTCACCGAGACAGGTGGCCAGCTAAAGAGGAATAGTTACACTCACGTAGAGAGACTCAGCGAGACAGGTGGCCAGTTGAAGACGAATAGTTACACTCACGTAGAGAAAGACTCAGCGAGACAGGTGGCCAGCTGAAGAGGAATAGTTACACTAGAGAGAGACTCAGCGAGACAGGTGGCCAGCTGAAGACGAATAGTTACACTCACGTAGAGACTCAGCGAGACAGGTGGCCAGCTGAAGAGGAATAGTTACACTAGAGAGACTCAGCGAGACAGGTGGCCAGCTAAAGAGGAATAGTTACACTCGCGTAGAGACTCAGCGAGACAGGTGGCCAGCTGAAGAGGAATAGTTACACTAGAGAGACTCAGCGAGACAGGTGGCCAGCTGAAGAGGAATAGTTACACTAGAGACTCAGCGAGACAGGTGGCCAGCTAAAGAGGAATAGTTACACTAGAGACTCAGCGAGACAGGTGGCCAGCTAAAGACGAATAGTTACACTCACGTAGAGACTCAGCGAGACAGGTGGCCAGCTGAAGACGAATAGTTACACTCACGTAGAGAGAGACTCAGCGAGACAGGTGGCCAGCTAAAGACGAATAGTTACACTCACGTAGAGACTCAGCGAGACAGGTGGCCAGCTAAAGACGAATAGTTACACTCGCGTAGAGAGAGTGAAAGCGAAATAACATCAGGCAAGGGCAGGAGCCAAGCCCCTGCATGGCAAGGCCCTAACCGTTGTACCAATCACAACCTGGACATTGATCCCGTAGCTGCTGCTCCTGCTCAGAATCGATATCACCACGACAGGAAGCAGAAGCGAGGCTTTACCTGGCTGACCAACAACAACAATCAGTACAACAATCACCACCACGCACCTGGGTCACAGCGAGAGGCGCGCTGAGCTGCAGCTCCTGGGGTCTCGTGACGTCACGCGGAGGCGCGGGGTGGAAGTGACATGACGTCACTAGCAGGTGACACCCCCTCCACAGAGCTCTGATGCCTAATAAATGCTGAATACGAATAGTTACTGCTGAAGACGGACACAACGAACCGCTGGGATGCTTAATAAAAAATGTGAACGTCTGAGTGATTGTGGCGTGTCTGTGCGCAAATAAGGTTTAGGAAAGAAGCAGGAGTGACGTCACGCGGAGGCACGTGGTTACATGACGTCACGAGCTGGGGACACCTCCCCACCGGCGTGGGGCACCAATTACGTCAGACCGCAATAACGAGAGCTGGGTCTTGATTTAAAGCTTTCGTGACTGCAGTAATTCATATTCTTAGTTTTTTCGGTGACTTTACCGAAAAAACTAAGAATATGAGAGCTGGGTCGTGAGAGAGCGAATGTCTTCTTTGGTTCTTTCGGTAAAGTCACCACCACGTAGACTGAGAATAAAATAATAAATTGATAAAATAAATTTGATTTAAAGCTTTCGTGACTGCAGTAATTCATATTCTTAGTTCTTTCGGTAAAGTCACGTTGAAGGGAAACAATAAAATAATAATGTATATAAAACAATAAAAATTCTCACGACGTTTCGACCATAACACAAACGGTCGTCTTCAGGTGTGTCGGTTTGCATACATTTATTTATTTATTTTTAAACGCTGTATTTATTTATTTATAAAAAAACGTTAGCGCCACGCACAGCGATTTCGCAGTTTATTTAGAAGGACGAGTCCATCTATATTCTGAAAAGAGGAGGGGGGAGACAATTTTTTTTAATGTATGCTGTCTGAAAGCCACTGTAAGCGTGAACAATCAATTAAGACCTGAAATGGTTAATCAAATCTTTCCAATGATTGCTAAGCCAGAATCCATCTTCTCGGTTGAAATTGTCTCTGTGCTTGTATATGTGGATAGCTTCATGAACGAATCTCTCATGGTAGCCAGATGGCCACAACACAAGCGGCCTTCATCAGCCTTCATTGTGTTGTGGCCGAAACGTCGTGAGAATTTTATCGCGTTATTTTATTTTATCAATTTATTATTTTATTCTCATTCTACGTGGTGGTGACTTTACCGAAAGAACCAACGAAGATGAATCCCTTCAGTCACGAAAGCTTTAAATCGAGAGCGAATGTCTTCAGAGTTTAACGCGAAGGCTTTCGCGACCAATATCATCCATAATACAGGTCCTTTTGGGATAGATCGCATAAATATATAAATGTGTTGTTAAACCCACCACCACCACCACCCGACACAGCCAATGAGTAACGTTTGTCACGTCAACAGAACGTGCCAATTCGTCACTAGTGACGATGTGTGGGCCGGCGCAGTGACGTCACTCGGGGTTGGTGTCACCTCGTAAGGACCTCTGCCCGTACCAGACCATACAGAATCCTTAGTAATGTTTTTTTGTTGTACTAATGTTACTCGTAAATCGTAATTCCCGTATATCACTGAATGTAATGGCAAAAGTAGTGACATAAACGACTAGCAAAATAAAAATTACACCTTTAAATTACAATATTTCCTTTAATTACGACTTCAAATCTCAAAAGAGCTATTGATATAGGTTCACAAATACTAATTACCACAATATTGTAGCTAAAACACCAGAAAATTTGATAAAATCAGCGACTATAAAAACACGAGCAGCGACGAAAACAACAGCGCGTGGTCGTAGCGCGTGCAGACGAAACCACGTGACTCAAAGCGTCACTGGAGTTGGATCATAATGACAGCTCTGACCGGAGCGCATTAGAAGGTTCAAAAAGTAAATTAGCATCGAGTTTTACCTTGTAGGTATATTGGTACAGTACATGTAAGCTGGGCTTACGAAATATGTTTTTGTTATAACTAACTACGGGGATATTTTTTTTTTATCTTGAAGAGTAATGAATTTATGCTGAAACATTGCTCAAAAATTTTATAGACAGTAATTTTGGTTTAAAGCTTTCGTGACTGCAAGGATTCATCTTCTTTGGTTCTTTCGGTAAAGTCACGTAGAATGAGAATAAAATAATAAATTGATAAAATAAAATAACAATAATATTCTCACGACGTTTCGGCCACAACACAAGCGGCCTTCATCAGGTGAAGGGACGAGACTGTCCTCCAGACAGTCTCGTCCCTTCACCTGAGACTGTCCTCCAGACAGTCTCGTCCCTTCACCTGATGAAGGCCGCTTGTGTTGTGGCCGAAAACGTCGTGAGAATATTATTGTGTTATTTTATTTTATCAATTTATTATTTTATTCTCATTCTACGTGGTGGTGACTTTACCGAAAGAACCAAAGAAGAGTAATTTTGGTGTCACCCGGTGCGGTCAGCACCCCCCTAGTAACACGACTGTGCCGGCGTCCACCCCACCGCCCCCGCAGGTGGGGCGTGACGTCCGCCCCTTCCGCTCCCCCCTCTCCACTCCCTCCTCCACCGCGTCGATCGGCCCCCGCCAGGCCCCCGCCGACTGGGTGACCGGCGGCAGCCTGACGAGAAGGGGCGGAGGAGGAGGGGGGAGAAGTGGAGGGGTTGGCGTCAGCCCCCACAAACCCACTACAACTGGTGTCGGAAGTGGCTGAAAATATTACTAAGAGAATGGCCGAGAGTAGGTGTCATTCTAGATTTGAAGCTTTCGTGACTGCAAGGATTCATACTCTTTGTTTTTTTTTGGTAAAGTCACGTAGGTAAAAAAAAATCAATAGAATAAATGAAAACAGCTAAATTAATCACGACGTTTCGGGCACTACACAAGCGTCCGTCATCAGGTGGGGACAAACACAGCGAAGACAGTTGCTGAGATATGTCAACGAGATCGTGTGGTACCACAACAGCGAAGCCACTCCGCCGAAACTGGGGCCGTCGCTATGCTGCTGCGACCGAGAAGCCACCCGGCTCCCGTCACAGCGCTCTCCCCGCCACCAACCACATAAACACACACACACACACACTCAAGTAGGGCCTCGTAGGGAGGGGGCACCTGCCCTGAGTTTTTACCCGAGAGACCCCCTCGTGGGGGTGCTCCATGGTTTCTCAGGGCCAGGAAATTGGCAGCCCCCCCAGGCCAAATGGCACTGCGGCGCTGTGGCATAACTTAAAATTAAATGACCACGGCGAACTCACTGAGAACCGCAGTGAGGAAATGCCCAAGACACACACGGACCAGCAGGCAAGTGAGAAGCGGGGCAGCAAGGGTTAAACGTCTCTACCTGTGATGCACCGCGGGTTAGCGTCTCTACCCGTGATGCACCACGGATTAACGTCTCTACCCGTGATGCACCACGGATTAACGTCTCTACCCGTGATGCACCGCAGGTTAGCGGTGATGATGCGGCACCGGCTCGCTTATTGAGTCGGTGCACTTGGTTAAACAATGGGGGGGGGCGGAGCGTCGGAGAGGGGGGCTGATCGGATTGGATAAGAGGCCAACGGGTCGGTGGCGCGCATGCTTTGAAGCCGAGCATAAAAAGGGACGATTTTGGAAAGCACGGGGTCGTTTTCGCTGGGGATCAACTGGAGACAGGGAGCGAGGAGCCGTCATCTCACTGTTACTCGCACGTCCGTGAGACGGGTCAGAGAACAGCCAGATACCGTTTACAGCATCATCGTTCCGCGACCCCCAACACTGCGAGGTCGGACCGTAAGTACAAGGAAGAGAGGTTAGACAAAGGGGCGAAATTCTGAGAGAGAAAGAGAGAATAGAGAGCGGACAGGCCAATTAAGTATCAGACAGTAGAGAGATATTCATAATAAAGGTTTTTGGGTTAGATCGCGTTTATTTATAAATGTGTCATAACCCTCCACCACCTGACACGGCCAATCAGCAAAAAAAAAGTGTCACGTTGACAAAAGACAAATAATTCACTACTTTAGCCCACCGGTGTGCTGAAGAGTGAATCCACAACATTTACAGTTTGAGTTGTACGACGTTTCGCTGGTAAATACATCCAGCATCATCGGGCAATTCCCCAGAATGGTAAAGCCCTCGCTTGCTCCCGGTTTTATATAGAGCAGCAGGGTGACGTCATCATTTAACTCATATCAGGTGCCGTGATTAGAGGCGGAGGGGGGGGGTATTGTAATTATATAATCGATTAGTAATCAGTCATTGGTTATGATTAGTAATGAGTTGTAGATTAGTAATTAGTTGTAATGTGTGTTAGTGATTATATGCTATGTTAGTAATCCGTTAATTAGTATGTGTTTCCCCTATAAGGAATTGTAATGTGCATTCATATTCTTAGCTCCCTCGGCAAAGCCACGCCGAAGGGAAACAACAAACATAGATATTATATTATTTTAGTGCTTCCCCCCCAACGCGACTCCACCGAAAGAGCCAAGAGCGTGAATCACTGCAGTCACGAAAGCTTTAGATCAAAATGTAACGTGTATTATTTAATAATACGCTTCTAGGCCGCACTAAGCCTGTAGCTGTCAGAGCGATTAAAGTAATTCTTATTCCTCTCAATTTCAATGGATTCTCTAATTAGTCTTTGCCAGTAATAATTAGTTTTACACAACACTGCAACATTGTCAAAATCAATTGAGTGTCCTTGTTGACAAGCATGTTCTGCCACTGCTGACAGTTGTGTTTGAGATAATTTAATAGGTTAGACCTGTCCTGCTGGTCCGCACTGACACGCGCAGTTTGGTTTGTTTATTCGTGGGGAATAAATCGTCAGTAGAGTATAAACCGTGTCGTGTTGTCTCTGTGAGTGTGACGGGGGGTGCGTGGTGTGGTGAGCCTGCGCGCTGTGGTTTCTGTGTTTATGCACGGGTGTGTCATTTCGCCCACGTGTGCGCTCTCGCCGCGTACGTTAACCCGTGAGCCTGCGCGCCTCGCCGTGATTGTAAAGTGGTTAGTGCAGCTAGTTAAATCATGCCCCGAGGAGCAGCAGCGAAAGGGGGGAGAGCAGGAGGACGGTGGGTCACGGGAGAACGGGGAGACGGGGGGCAGTCTCCCTAACAATCGCTCTGACATGGGTTTATATAGCTGAGGAGGGTGGGGGGGGGGGGGCGAGGGCAGGGTGAGTATGGGGGC